ACTATTTTATCTGGGTTGGGGTTTACATCTACCCTGTAACACTGCAAATTACTAAAAAACTATAGCAAACTGTGGTGGGTTGGCCTTGTCTGGATGCCAAGTGCCCACCAAGCCACTGTATCACTCCCCTCCTCAGCAAGACGGGGAAGGAAAATAAGATGGAAAAAAACCCTCATAGGTCAAGATAAGGTAGTTTACTAGAGCAAAAGCAAAACATGTGCACACAAGCAAAGGAAAAAGATTTTATTCTCCACTTCCCATCAGTGAGTGATGTCTTGCCATTTCCCAGGAAGCAGGGCTTCAGCACGCATAGTAGTTGCTCTGAAAGGTAAACATTGTAAATAATGTAAATAATCCTCCTTCTTAATTTTTATATCTGAGCAGACACCATATGGTATGGAATATCCCTCTGGTCAGTTTGGGTCAGCTGTGCTGGTTTACCCCCTCCTAAGATTTTGCCCACCCTCCAAACCCACCCTGCTAGTGAGGGGAAGGTGTTGGAGAGACAAATGTTCAGCAGTAGCCAAAACACTGGTGTGTAATGGGCACCTTTATAGCTGCCAGTGCAAAGCACAGCACTCAGGGCTTCTATGGGGAAACTAACTCAGCTAGACCCCATACACAAATGGAAGATCTTTTTCCTTAATCATCTACCTCCCTTAGATTTTCTCCCCTCTGCAAAATATGATTCCTGCTGGCAGTATGAGTTTTTCACCACTAGTGCAGAGGGACACTGTGATAATATTTTCCTGTGATTATTTTGAATTCTATACTAATTTTCTTACCATTACTGGTAAATTCTGCAAATGATACAAAGCCCCAATTGAACAAGCACACATATGCTGTCTGACTTCATTATTAGATGGTTACCTCTCTCCAGCTACCACTTTTTTTGTAAACTTGAAAACTGGAACTGCTTCATTTGGTTCTTTGCTAAAGCCTATTGTACAGAACCTAACACTTCCACTTAAGGCTAATATAAAGGGTCATAGCTTGCTGTAGAGGACATTCAGCTGTCTTGCATTATGCTGCTCTTTCAGGCCCGTTGTCTTTTCCTCAAAAAGGACCTAGGTCAGGACTTGTAGTATCAACCACCCCTGTAAGCGACCCCATTGAATTGAAAACCAGCCTGAAAAGAAACCCAGCACTGGTGGTGAACGAGGTAAGGCAGTGGAGTCACCTCACAGGCAGAAGCCTGTATTTACACCAACCCATTTCATAACATGGCCAGAACTTCAAGTGTTGACACCTTGAAAACTCTACCACTAATAAAAACATTAGTTCCAGGAATTAATTTGTGGGAATGTCACTAAACCCCATGGCATCTATGAAATAAAAACACTGGAACAGGACAGAGCTCACTTCTTTCACTTTGTCACAAGGTTCATTCCTGAGAGATAGTGTGGTAACTTCCTTTAAAAACTTACCCTTAGTCAGCCATACAGTCTCTAGGTAAACTGTTCCACCATCTAACAAATCTCGTAAGAAAGCTTTTCCTAAAATATCACTAAGTGACTTGGTCTTTAAAGCCACCAAAAACGTTTTCTTCTGCAGGTACAAAAATCACTGACCCTTTTGCAAGTTTTCAAATGCATGAAAAGTTCTGTAATGCTCCTCTATCAGCTCTCGCTGCCTTTAAGCCTGAACAAACCCACTTCTTCCAAAGTTGCACAAGACTTCTGCTGTTAGACTCTGCCAGTACTTTGGGACTTGTCATTTCACTGTCACAGCATCAAATCAGTAAAGAAATATGGCAGTTAGGGACATCTCATATGCTCAGAATTTAGCTAATTTATACTGGAAAGCACTGGTTTTATTCAGGGTTTTTTTTTTAATTTCTACTATGTTTTGCACACTACCTTTTGTTCTTTGTAAAAAATAAACTGTCAAAACCCAGAATTATAACGAGTTATAACAAACTACCACCACCTCTGAAAATAAAAAGAACATTCAATCTTTACATTGAGTTCAATTTGTATAGTACCACATGGCTTTTGCTAAACTGTCAAAATAAAATACATAAATTGATAGAATAACAAGCTACAGAAGATAACGCACAAGTTACTCTGACATACAGACGCTAAAAAAAAGAAATTCTGAATTCAAACTAAGATGGAGAAACAATTATAACTTTATTTATTCATTTTTGCATTAAAATCAATAAAGTCGTCATTATTCTACAGATTCTCGCCCCCAAAGTTTTGCAGTCTAAGGCCCCATTCTCAGTAATAACATACATGAATACTTACTTGCTTGTGACTAACATTAACAGTATTCATTAGCTTGTGGGAAAAGCAATGAGAAACAAAAGTTAGTCCTTAAAACTAAGGCAAGTCAATAGTTTAACAGGCACATGGTGTGTCCATCAAAAGGAAAGAATTTGGAAGGTGCATCTGTGCATCTTAATGAAACAGTTTAATTTATTTCTACAACACGTTTTAACCAAAATGCTTCAGACATTGGCAAAGTTCAGCCTGAGGTTCCTAAAGGTCCAATTATTTCTGGGGTCTAAAATGAAATTAAACTTTTAACTCAACAAAATATCCAGTTGCACAGCAGACTGTAGACCTAAAAAATGAGATATGTTAGTATTACCGAACAGCCATAACAAATTTGTCAAAAAATAAATATGGACACTTCTCCAGTTTTGGAATTACTGAATTTCCTCCAGACTTTTTATGGATAACAAATATGGGAAAATAACTAAAAAAATCTAATGTTCTGAAAGGAAGGGGAAAAAAATCTCAAAATAAAACTCGTGAGAGATACACAGCCAGTCTTTTATTTATACATCTAACATTTGGAGTGTGGGCTAACAGGGAGGAACTGTTCCTTCTTAGAACACCTCAAAAGGGCATAGAAAAATTTTCCCCGTTTGGACAGCACGTCCATCTCCATTTATTTCAACAGCAGCTGACACGCTGGCTTTCCAGATTTAGAGAGAAAAGAAAAATAACCCCCCCAAAACCTACCAAAACACAATACAAAAAAAGTCGTGACACATCCTCATAAGGACAACAGGTACTATCACCATTCTCCTCACTGCAGCAGTCTCTGTTCAGTCCTCTGGGCTCAACCCTGTCCCGACCTGGCCACATCTCTTCCAGTCTCAAAGCAGAGGCAGTGACCCACTGAAGTGTATTACTCAGAGGAAGGGTAGAAAATAACTGTAGTTTTTTTGGTTCCAGGTCTGGTAGGATTTTTTATTAACATTTTTATTGTGTGCTTCAGTTGGCTTCATTTTTTCTTTGTCTGGGTCAATATAAAACAAGGCATAATTAAGCAATTCAAGAGCAGTTTGCTTGAATTCTAATGGAATGCAGGGCCCCTGCTAAGTAATTGTAATAAATAATTTTATTTGCATGCTCTGTCCACAATAAGTGTAGGAATCCATAGTTATGGAACTCTGCAGGTTGAATTACTGTGTTGTTACTAATTGCATCTTTATTTCTCAACTGTTGCCTAGTAGTCCCTAATTCAACAATACTTTAAGAAGCCACTTTTAATCCTACATTTTCATTATAAGCTGTCCAAAGAATAAAAACAAAAATTAACTGGTTTAGGCCCAGATTCAGAAAAATAACTCTAGTTAGGAATATGCTTGTGCTAGCTAGCAAGTCTTCTTTCTCTTTTTTTCTTTTTTCCTATTTTGGCTCTAAAACATTCCCTTTTAGCCACTACCCTTGATCTAGACCACTTGATTAACTTTTTCAACAAAGCTTGTATTCTACTATACAGCAGTTTCCAAGAATGTAATAATACGAAGAATTCCCAAATAATAGTGAGTTCAACTCCCCAAATTATAACATATAACCTAACCTCTATAGTTAAATTTAAAAAGCAGAACAATCTTTAAAGCCTCACTGCTTTTTCTCTGGACAGAAGCATCCTACCTGTGAGGCTGACAGTGGTAAAGGCACTGCTAAGTGCTTTTTTTACAGCAGCCTCTCCAAGAAATGCACCTCAGAAAGTATCTAGTATGTGATAGTTTTCACCCTAGGCCTTCCTGGAGACCAGCTTGTAACCAGGAAGGAACTAGGGTAATGACTTAGGAAGTATTCCACACTATTCCTTTCCATAACACAACATATAAAAAGGCACCGATAAGAGCGTTCGCTCTCTTCTCTCTTCCGGTGGCTGAAGGCGACAGGTCTCTCCGTAGACGGGCTTTGCTTATATAGGCCAGGGCCTGCTACTCAGACCTGCCGTTATCTCCGGTCTCTCCGGGAGGTGTGGGGGAGTTGGCTGCTGCCTTGCACAGCTCTGCTGTCCCGATCAGGGAAGTATTTAATTCGGTTTTTATATTTATTGACTAGCTCTCTATTAACGGGCATATTTAGGAGATATTTGGGTTTAGGCTTCTTTTTATCCCTGTTTCCCCCCCCCTTTTCCCTTTTTTCCCCCTCGGGAGCTCCCTGCTGTGGATAATATATTCAAATTATATATATATAATTGTAAATATATATTTTTGATAGAATCTCATTTTGTTCAAACTTCTTTCAGTTTTTTTCCTGTGGTTTGTTTTTTTCTTCCCTCTCTGGGAAGCAGGCCTTGTTGTCAAGTTTCAGAGACTTGGCGGGAAGCCAGCTCGAAACTTGCACAACATTTTTGGTGGCAGCGGTGGGATATTTTGGTCAAGTTTGGCCTGTTTTGAAAACACTGTCCAGAAAGACAGCCAAGCTCGGTGTTATTTTGGTGAACAAGTCTATTGTTTTGGAAACAGGTCCGGGAACACTGCCAGAGTCCAGGAAAACTGTCAAGTCCAGTCTTTGTTTACAAAACAACTACTGGGAGAGCAGCCAAGAAAACTTTGTTTATATAAACAAAGTGTTGTTTAGGAACAAGGAGAGAGAATAAAAGTAAACCATGGGAAGTGTGGGCTCAACTTTCTTCAGCCTCTACCACAAACTTACAGACCCATTTCTGCAACCGGAACGCACAGAAGAAGAAGAAGAAAGAGGAGAAGAAGAAGGAGTAGAACCTATCCAATCCATGCAGGAAGTAGTAGGTGAAGGAGCGGCAGCAATAGACGAAGGAGCAGCAGCAATGGACGAAGGAACGGCAGCAATGGACGAAGGAGCGGCTACAAGCAAGGAAAGAGCGACAGTAATGGACGAAGGCGCGACTGCGAGAGAGGAAGAAGTGGCTGTGACTGAGGAAGGAGCGATTGCAAGAGAAGAAGCAGCTGCCAGAGAGGAAGAGATGGTTGCAAGAGAAGGAGCGCGCCCAAAAAAACTAGGGGCGCATCCAAAGGAAAGTAGAGCAGTATCAAGAGAAAAGAAGGCAATAGTACAAATGACCCATGATATATTACCACTTGAGGATTTATATCCTGACTACACATTCAGTGTTATGAAAGACACAAAGAGGGGGCCAAAGCATTCCCCTCAACCTGAGGAAGAATTATCCCTACCCCTCCGGACCCAACCTTCTCTTGGAGGCATGGATGATTGGATGAGGCCCTTATCTCGGCACTCAAAAGACTATTCGCTACCTCCAGCCGCTGGGTATCGCGAACGACGTAGGAGTCCATCCCCATGGCGTGAACGATGTAGAAGTTCATCCCCATGGCGTGAACGACGTAGAAGTTCATCTCCGTGGCGTGAACAACATAGGAGTCCATCCCCATGGTATGAACTGCGTAGAAGTCCATCTCCGCGGCATGAACGGCATAGAAGTCCATCTCCACGCCGTGAACGACACAGAAGCTCATCCCCATGGCATGCCCAGTCTCCACCTCCACATGAGAGATACAGAGAGGAGGTGGAAGTGGTTCCACGTAAGAGCAGAAGAGTAAAGAGGGAGGTGGAAAAGATTCTACGTGGGAGAAATGGACAAGAAATAATGCGAGAAAGCAAAATTACACAATCACTGACCACAAGAGAGCTTCGAGATTTACGAAGAGATTATATGCGCTTGCCTGGTGAACGAGTCCTCACCTGGCTGGTGCGATGTTGGGACAAGGGAGCTGATAGTCACATGATTGAAGGTGAAGAAGCACGGCAACTGGGATCCATTGCCAGAGACTCCGTGATAGAACAAGAAATGGGAAGGGAGAAAATGGCGTCTAGTCTTTGGCTCCGAATCCTCCATGCTGTGAGGGCGAGATACCCATTTAAGGAGTCCCTGGCGAGCTCTTCAAGAAGGTGGAGGACTGCGGAAGAAGGCATCCAATACCTACGGGAATTGGCCATGCTGGAGATTGTTTACTCTGATCCAGACTATTATGACATCCAAGTTCCCGAGAGTGTTCCCTGCACACAACCAATGTGGAAAAAGGTAATTCAAGGTGCCCCCAAACCGTATATCTGCTGCTTGATAGCCATATATCATCCAAAGATGGATGAACCAAGCGTGGACACCATGTGTGCTTGGATAAGGAACACAGAGGAAAATCTGGAAGACTCCTTCAATCCCTTATACCGACACACTTATGATAGGGAAAGAATGGAGAGAGATTATGAATACTCCAGATATGAGGACGACCCTAGAGACAGAGATGACAGAAGGTATAGAGATTACAGAGAAAGGCCAATGGAACGATCACGGCGCAATCGACGAAGACGACCTCGACCTCGACCTCAATCCTGGTCTCAATCTCGCTCACGATCTCCGTCATTCACACATCGAAGGAAAGAAAACCCTAAGCATTGGTCACGTAACCAACTATGGGCATACCTTCGTAGCAAAGGAGAAAACATGAAGAAGTGGGATGGTCAACCCACTTCCAAGCTTGAAGCTAGAGTGAGGGAGCTGAAGCAAAAGGACACTGACAAGACAGTTGTTTATGTAGTAGATGCAGACTTCTTAGAAAAGAAACTGCGATCGTCAAAACACAAGAAGATGGAGGTCCACTTTGACGATGGCAAAAAGGCCTCTAAGAAGTCAAAGTCAAAGTCCAACAACGAATGCTCTGATCAAGACCAGTAGAGGGGCCCTGCCTTCTGCCAGGAGAAGGAAAGGGACCAAGAAGATAACCGGGTTTACCGGGCTGTGTGGGTTCGATGGCCTGGCACATCGGATCTGCAGAGATACTGGGCCTTGACAGAGCCCAGTGTACTTTAATGCCTTCGGAGCATAAGAGTACCGAGACTGTTTCTATTTCTGGAGTGACAGGAGGGTCTCAAGAGTTGTCAGCAGTAGAGGCCAACATGAGCTTGACAGGAGACCAATGGGAATAGCATCCCATTGTGACAGGGCCAGAAGCCCCTTGTATTCTTGGTATGGACTATCTAAGAAGAGGATACTTCAAGGACCCTAAAGGGTACCAGTGGGCATTTGGTGTAGCCATGGTGATTGAAGAGGAGTCCAAGCAACTGTCTGCCCTTCCTGGCCTCTCAGAAGACTCTTCCATTGTAGGACTACTGCGAGTTAAAGATCAAGAAGTGCCAATAGCCACGACAACCGTACATAGACAACAGTATCAGACGAACTGAGATGCTGTGATCCCTATCCACAAAATGATTCGGAAGTTGGAGAGCCAAGGGGTGGTCAGCAGAACCCTTTCACCCTTCAACAGCCCCATCTGGCCTGTTCATAAGTCTGATGGAGAATGGAGACTGACTCTGGACTATCGTGGCTTAAATGAAGTCACGCCAACATTGAGTGCTGCCATGCCAGATATGTTGGATCTCCAGTACAAGCTGGAGTCCAAGATGGCAAAGTGGTACACTACCATCGACATTGCCAACGTGTTTTTCTCCATTCCCTTAGCAGCAGAGTACAGGCCACAGTTTGCTTTCACCTGGAGGGGTGTTCAATACACCTGGAATCGACTGCCCCAGGGGTGGAAACACAGTCCAACCATTTGCCATGGACTGATTCAGGCCACACTAGAGAAGGGTAAGGCTCCCGAACACATCCAGTACATCAATGACATCACTGTATGGGGGGACACAGCAGAAGAAGTTTTCAAGAAAGGACAGAAGATCATCCAGATTCTCCTCGAGGGCGGTTTTGCCATCAAGAAGAGCAAGGTCAAGGGACCTGCCCGAGAGATCCAATTCCTAGAGGTGAAATGGCAAGATGGACGACGCCAGATACCAACACACGTAATCAACAAGATTGTAGCAATGGCTCCACCGACAAACAAGAAAGAAACCCAAGCTTTTCTGGGAGCCATAGGCTTCTGGAGGATGCACATCCCAGAATACAGTCAGATTGTGAGCCCTCTTTACTTTGTGACTCGTAAAAAGAACAATTTCCAATGGGGTCCTGAGCAACAACAAGCTTTCAGGCAGATCAAGCAAGAGATTGCACATGCTGTGGCTCTTGGACCAGTCAGAATGGGATCAGATGTAAAGAATGTACTCTACACTGCAGCTGGAGATAAAGGTCCCTCCTGGAGCCTCTGGCAAAAGGTGCCTGGCAAGACGTGAGGGTGACCACTGGGTTTCTGGAGCCAAAGCTACAGAGGTTCTGAGGCCAATTACACCCCTGTGGAAAAGGAAATCTTAGCGGCATATGAAGGCATACAAGCAGCTTCAGAGGTAATTGGTACCGAAGCACAGCTGTTCCTGGCACCCCAATTACCAGTGTTGAGCTGGATGTTCAAAGGGAAGGTGCCCTCTATGCATTGTACCACCAATGCCACATGGAGCAAGTGGATTGCTTTGATTATGCAACGTGTCCGAATCGGGAATTCGAATCGCCCTGGCATTTTGGAAATCATAACCAACTGGCCTGAAGGTGGGAACTTCAGTCTGGCAGGTGAAGAAGAAGAAGAGCCAGTGAGTCGAGCTGAAGAAGCTCCGCCATATGATCAGCTGCCAGATGAAGAGACACCCTATGCCCTTTTCACCGATGGTTCCTGCCGTATTGTAGGGAGGAGCTGGAAGTGGAAAGCAGCTGTTTGGAGTCCCACCCGACGAGTGGCGGAAGCCACTGAAGGTAAAGGTGAATCGAGTCAGTTTGCAGAACTCAAAGCTGTTCAACTGGCCCTAGATATTGCAGAAAGAGAAGGGTGGCCAAGGCTCTACCCGGTGGATGATAGCCAATGCCCTATGGGGATGGCTAGACCGGTGGAAGAAGATGAATTGGAGACGTAGAGGAAAACCCATCTGGGCTGCTGATCTGTGGCAAGACATCACTGCCAGAGTGAAGAAACTGAATGTAAGAGTCCGCCATGTAGATGTCCATGTGTCCAAGAGACGAGCTAATGAGGAACATGCTAATAACAGACAGGCAGACCGAGCTGCACAGGTCAGGGTATCACAAGCAGACCTAGACTGGCAGCAGAAAGGAGAAGTGTTCCTAGCTCGATGGGCCCATGATGCTTCAGGTCATCAGGGCCGAGACGCCACTTGCAGATGGGCACGAGACCAAGGGGTGGATTTAGCCATGGATGCTATCTCTCAAGTTATCCATGACTGTAAAACTTGTGCTGCTATTAAGCAGGCAAAAAGGTTGAAGCCCCTGTGGTATGGTGGACGCTGGGAGAAATATAAATATGGGGAGGCCTGGTAGGTTGATCATATCATGTTGCCACAGACCCACCAAGGTAAACGCTATGTGCTTACCATGGTGGAAGCAACCACAGGATGGCTAGAGACATATTCGGTACCGCATGCAACAGCCCGAAACACCATTCTAGGTCTTGAGAAGCAGGTTCTGTGGAGACATGGCACTCCAGAGCAGAACGAGTCAGACAATGGGACTCATTTCAAGAACAGTCTAGTGGCCACTTGGGCACAGGAGCATGGTATTAAATGGGTATATCACATTCCATATCATGCACCTGCTGCAGGAAAAGTAGAAAGATGTAATGGACTGAAGACAACTCTAAAGGCACTAGGTGGGGGAACTTACAAAAATTGGGATAAGAACTTAGCCAAGGCCACCTGGCTAGTTAATACTAGAGGCTCTGTCAGTCGAGCTGGTCCTGCCCAAGCAGAATCCCTCCACACTGTAGATGGAGACAAAGTTCCAGTGATCCATCTAAAAGGTATGTTAGGTAAGGCCGTTTGGATTACTCCTCCCTCAGGCCAAGACAAACCCATTCATGGGATTGTTTTCGCTCAAGGGCCCAGAAATACCTGGTGCGTTATGAGGAAGGATGGAGAGATCCAATGTGTGCCTCAAGGAAACCTAACTCTGGGGAAAAACTAATTCTGTGCCTTAAGTTGTGTTTTACAGGAGACCAGACACCAGATGAAAAAGACCTGAACAAAGCTGATACCGGTATCCAAGGATGTCCGATGATGAGACAGCCCAAACCAATGAGCAGACCTAAACCAGAACTGTGATTGTGACAAAAGGGCCAAGAATCCAAACCGAGCTGCTGTTGATGCTCGTCTTCAATGACAGATGACAGCCTTCGGAAAAATAAACATGGACTATATATGTATATATATGCGTGGGGTATGGGCAAATGCGAGACACAGGTGTTGCGTAAAGAAATAGGATGGAATAAGGGGTGGAAAATGTGATAGTTTTCACCCTAGGCCTTCCTGGAGACCAGCTCGTAACCAGGAAGGAACTAGGGTAATGACTTAGGAAGTATTCCATGCTATTCCTTTCCATAACACAACATATAAAAAGGCACAGATAAGAGAGTTCGCTCTCTTCTCTCTTCCGGTGGCTGAAGGCGACAGGTCTCTCCGTAGACGGGCTTTGCTTATATAGGCCAGGGCCTGCTACTCAGACCTGCCGTTATCTCCGGTCTCTCTGGGAGGTGTGGGGGAGTTGGCTGCTGCCTTGCACAGCTCTGCTGTCCCGATCAGGGAAGTATTTAATTCGGTTTTTATATTTATTGACTAGCTCTCTATTAACGGGCATATTTAGGAGATATTTGGGTTTAGGCTTCTTTTTATCCCTGTTTCCCCCCCCCTTTTCCCTTTTTTCCCCCTCGGGAGCTCCCTGCTGTGGATAATATATTCAAATTATATATATATAATTGTAAATATATATTTTTGATAGAATCTCATTTTGTTCAAACTTCTTTCAGTTTTTTTCCTGTGGTTCATTTTTTTCTTCCCTCTCTGGGAAGCAGGCCTTGTTGTCAAGTTTCAGAGACTTGGTGGGAAGCCAGCTCGAAACTTGCACACCAGTATAAAACTATTCTCAACACAGTGAATAAGTTTCTTGAACAGGGTTTGTGTTTTGTACCTTTTGCCTTACATGTGCTCAGAATTCCGGCTTTGGAGTTATATACGCTATAAAGTTGTTCTCTTACCTTACAACTTTACTGACTGTTACCAGTTCCTTCTACTTTTTCAATTTTAGAAGGTTTATCAACAGACAGAAACTAGCCTCTCCTCCAAAAAAACCCCTCCCTAGAATAGAGAAGAAAACAAAGCAAAACCCTTCTCACTTCATTTCATAGTTTTATTGAGCCTAACATCTCATCACATATTTCCCACTTACTGATCTTCCTGTCAACAGGCTGGATTATTTGTAGCATTTCCTTTCTGTGTAGACAGAACTTTGTTGCATTCTTTGACAGTGGAAGGAATAAACAGAAGTAGCCAAACAACTCAGGAACACAAATCTGGATAGGAAGAAAAAAAGAAAGAAAAAAAATAACCCAAACACGTTGTTACTACCTTAGTACTACCAATTTTTTAAATTTAAAATTTAAATACAGTGATTACATATTTTCTCATTCTAACTAATCTCTTATTGTTATCTCCTGCAGTTGCACTGAGAAAAAATTACTAATTTTCTAAATTTGATCATATCTTAAAGGTATTTTTTTCATGGCCTTTATCAGCACTGGACTCATATCTATACCTAGTGGCTAGTATCACGTGGGCTACAATTTTCATAAACACTTGCATACTTGCTATGGGGGAGTGGGTTATGCCTTTTCTAATTTTGGTTAATTTTTTTACAATGCAAGTAGAACAGGATTCCTTTTTGTGCTTCCATCGGTTATTGTCAAGCAAAGATTGCTACCAGTTAATTAATACAAAAACTTCTGTGTAAAGTATCACACAGTACAGTGAAATATCAGGACATTCTTTAAAAAAAGATGCAGCGTAATATTCAGACCTATCTGCAGCTACCTAAGCAAAATACAGCACGTGGCATATAGGAAGGTGAAGTTAAGGAATGAGTGGATGGGCTGGGACACATGCTTGTTAGAAGTGAGCATTTACATGTGAACATCAGCAGAAGCAACATCTATCAAAAATGCCCTTGACAGTTCTGCAGTACCCATAGGGAGTGGATCTCTGGCAATGGCTAAGAGTGCAACTCAAACCTGGATCATCTCTTTGGTTTTTCAGAACACTAGAAGTCTAACACACATGGACCTCATAACAGGCTCCCAAACTATAACATATTTCAAGTTTTAATTAGGTAGGCCCCTAAACTGAAGATAAAAGCCATCTTTACTAAAAGGGATGTAATTTAGATGAAAGATAGTGAACTACATATGAACAAGTAAAAACTTTACCTCCAGCGTAAGAGAATGTAATGCACTGGCTGAGAATGAAGCTGAGTGGGTATTTTTCTAAAAATTATGTGGAAACCTATGATAGCAAGGTCCTAGTGATATCCAGCATTTTCACCCTAAAGTTATATAGGCGTGAGCTTTTGTTTTTCCTCTCTGTTTAACAAACACTCTGTCAGAAATTTTGTGAACTGTTTTTCCTACTGTAGACTGACCCTTTATGTATTTATCCATACCTTCAAATGCAAAATATTGCAGATTTCAGTTTTATATTTATGTAGTTTTCTCTGCCTCAGACAGGAGAAGAGAGAATATAATCGCTGGAAATATTATATAATACAAACTGGAGAGCCATATTGATTTGTTTTTTGTTGAGTTGCTAGTTTTTTTAACAGACTACACTTAAGAGGACCGTTTGTACTTGTAGAAAAATCCAGTAAAATTGTATTATAATAACAATTTCCATGTGGAAAAATAAATCTTATATATATATCAGAAAAAATTAACTAATAATTATATTTTTATTGCTTGCAATTCTGTCTGACAGATATTTTCAAAATGGAAACTCTTGCTGATCCTTCCTAAACTATATATCTGGACTGTAGATCATTACATCAGCCAAACAATAGTTACACTAGGGAAAGATATGATACTTGAATGTTTTGATATCTACACAGTCCAGCCACACTGACCTCCAAAATCCAGCACAACTCCACAACACACGGACTTCTAAGAAACAGTATATACTTTTCTATAGAAACAACGAAGTGGAAAACAGAAATATAAACTCTTGTAATACCTCAGGGACCTTTTTGGTCATACATAGTCAGAGTTATTTTCCACTTCATACCCCTTCTCCCCACCCTTAAATCACACGAAGCCAGGTAAGAGAACCTATGGAGAACAAAATTTAGCAGGAGGTTCCAGTATGCTACAGCACAAAATGTTCTGACAGCCCAAGGCCCAAGACATAGAGCAAAACAAGCTGTCACTACAGCTTACTACAACACTCTTTACACTTTTTTTCCATATGCAGAGATAGATCTTCTTCCTCAAGTGAAATTCTTAACACTACTTTCTTTGGTTCTTTCACATCCCTCAAGATTACTCCTGCAATGACACTGTGTCTTAAATGGATGGGCAGTACGGGGTTACAGTAATTTTACAAAGTTTGTTCATGTTAACATATAACTGATGTTTCCTTTATTCTCCCTTGGTTTTCCTAGAGTTGATTACATACACACTGGCTGGATCCTCAACAAACTGTAAGCTGTTTGGGGCAAGGTTATCTCTTTTTCAGGATTAGGCACACAACATAGTAACATACCAGAGCATCTTTTTTTATTTTATTCTCATATGTTTTAAAGAACATCTTTCTCAATGAAGTGAGCGTTTATTAACTCCAAGGAGAAAATCTTGTGCAGTATGTTTTCCTTTTGTAATGTTATTTCACAGAAGGAGAAGGAGGAGAAACACATAGGAGAGAGAATAAACACTATTAACTCACAGCAAATGGTCACCTCTTCAAGCACAACAGCAAGGGACAACCTGACAAGAAAGAATAAAGCACAAGTTTAGCACACATTTCACCAAGTGCATGGAACAAAAGTACTTGATTTGTTTTGCATTAAAAAATGAAAAAAACCCCACAAAAAACAAACCCACAAAAACGTAGATATCATGCAGGAGAAACAAAATAACATTTCTAACAGAAGTCCAACAGCTGTAAGTATCAATTAGGTGATACCTGCTTTCTGCTGAACAGTCCTATGAAAAGTAGTTCAGATAACTGTATGCAAAAGTAAGACAGGACAAAGCAAAAGCACACTAGCTTACCAAAACAATTATAAGACCTTTTTTTCTTTCTGTGGGAAATAACTGGCTCTAAACACAAATTAGTCGTAAAAAGATGCTACCATTTCAGCCATGTACACAGGCTATTCATATGCAGTCTGAGAACATTCACTGACAATAGTGAATGTCAGTGTTTTGATTCAAAGGCATGCTGCCAGCTATTACCAAAATTTTCTTTGAAGAGGGTATGCAAAAACGTAAGTGGCTTAAATGATGTCTGTAAAACAACTTTCTGCAATGATCTATTGTCCCAAGTTGCCTACATAAGACAAGACTAAGCCAGCTAAACTCAGGTTTTTCCCACAGTCTGTCACGATAATCAACTGGACACAGAACCCTCTTTAATTTTTGTAAACAGTACAGCTTACTAGATATTTAGATTAACTGCAGAGAAATGAAATAATGATACTGAAAGGGCTAAGCAGGAACAATTGTCCCTCCTGTTAAGAAAAAGAAAAAAACCTTCCTTTTAAAGGAAAAAAAAAATCACCATATAGTGTCAGTAGAACTCACTGCTATATAAAGTCACTGAGACAAGAGTCTACAAATATGTGAAGGTGGAACAGATGTTTTCATAACGCAACCAGAGGAATCAAAATTGTTTTATTTTTCTTCAAAAGATAGCAAGCTTCATGCTTCAGAGCTTCAGCAAATCTTTAGAAGACCAAGAATAAGCTTCTTGCCAACATAGAATGGAGATTATGGCACCGGCCCCAAAATTAGTTCCTCTGTAGCCTTTGCTGTTCATAACTGTCAGGATCAAAGTACTGGACAAGATGGATGTTAGCACCTACCCATTATGCTCATTCCTGAATAAGCCTTCCTACAGTGCAGCAAATAATTTATTTCAAAATACTATTTTTAACACAGCGTCAAGTCCTAACATTCCCAATTCCATTCAACATATCTACCACCAACACTGTACAAATCAAATTTTGGCAAAGGTTTCAGAAGAGCATGATTTGATCAGCTGGTGGCAGATATTTAAACAGGAAAAAGGATCTACAACTGCAGAAGTCCTTAGACTTCTAAAAGAATCTACAGCATGACTTTCTGCATCTCCCAAGAATAAGTTAGTGACTGTCCTGATGCAGAAGAATTCCATTCAGATCTGGAAAGCAGATAACTCTTGAAACCTGTAACTGGAAGGCAGCCCTATAAAAAAATAAAGAAAACAAAGAAAAAAATCTCAACTCTCCAGTGGGGGATATTAACACCAGCAAGGTAGTTAGCAAATACTTTATTACTGCATTTTACTGGTCAGCTATAGAACAAATTTTTACTAATTTCTGACTTAATAAAAAATTAAAACTAGATTCAGAAATACTAATAAGTGCTAGCTTGAGACTGAAGGCCTGATTTCCTAGAAGTGTAGAAAACCCACAACTTCCACCATCTTCTACTGGTTCCAGTAAAATGTGAAGTCTTTGGAAAATTCAAGAATGTTGAATTAAACACAGCAACAACCATCAGTCTAAAAGAAATAATAAATCTCACCCTGTCCACTCTAAGCCTCCCACTTACCACCCAGCAGGCCTAGTTCTGTTTAATATAAAAGAAACACAGTACTTGACAGATTACACCTATATATTTTTCCAGCAGAGGAGCGAACAGACTCCAAGAGGTGTAATTTATCTGAAATTACCTTGATTCCAGGCAAGCTTTTCTTAATGTGTTTATGAAGACAAAGAGCTTACTTTTCTTTATGGAACATTCATACCAAAGGAAATTATAAACCTCACATTAAAGCACAAGTTTCCAAGCTGGATATTGCCAAAGAGGTCATCCCATTTTCTCTGTGTTTCGCACAACACATATTATATATTCATAATTTTTCTGAAAAAGCATCACAAATCTGTCTGACCTGTTTCTAAAAATATCTAAAAAGACACTGATTTTAAATGGTGTAAAGTAACATTTTCAATACAGGCAACTGTCAAAATGCTCTTTCCAAAAAAATCTGAAAGCATGTAACTGTCACCATAAGATAAAGAGGCCAAACATGTGATCTGCAATACTTTTCATGAGCTAGAAATTTCATAGGTGAGATGGGCATAACATACAAGAAAGACACTGAGGTGCTGGAGAGCATCCAAAGAGCAACAAAGCTGGTGAAGGGTCTGGAGCACAAATCTTATAAGGAGCAGCTGAGGGGGCTGTGGTTGTTTAGCCTGGAAAGGAGGCTGAGCAGAGAACTCTGGTTACTACAACTACCTGAAAGGAGGTTGTAGCAAGGTGGGGGGCGGTCTCATCTCTCAAGTAACAAGCTATAGGATGAGAGGACACAGCCTAAGTTGCACCAGGGAAGGTTTAGTTTGGAAAACTTTCTTCACAGAAAGAGTTGTCAAGCACTGGATCAGGCTGCCCAGGGAAAAGGTTGAGTCCTGTGTATCCTTATGAATAAGGATACACAGAAGGAAGGATACAACAGAAGGAAGGATACAGCATACAATAAGGAGAGATTGTGGGTGCCCCATCTCTGGAAGTGTTCAAAGCCAGGTTGGATGGGGCTCTGAGCAACCTGATCTAGTAAGTGGCATACCTGCCCTTGGCAGGGCAGTTGGAACTAGATGATCTTTAAGGTCTCAATGAACCAAAAGCATACTACAATTTTATGCTTCTGTATGCTAATATTAGTCTAAGCTAATTCCTTATACATAGTTTCTAGAACAAATGCAGGACCAATCTCAAACAACTGCCTGCTTTATCACGTCACATCTAATCCAGAAGCGCCCACATACTGAATGTGACAGAGGAGTTATGGGGGGGGGGGGTAAAAAAATAAAAAAAAATAAAATTAAAAACAGAAGAGAAGGATAACACAAGAATACAAGAGGAGGAATAATCCCAAACAAGCCAACATTCAGACAGCATGGGGAAAAAGAATCACTACATGCATCCGCTAATATCTAAGTGCTTGACTAAGTGAACCTACATTTTTTTAATGCAACCTCTGAAATGCAGCTTTATCAGCAGTCGCGCAAATAACAGAAACAAAAAGGTCAAGTGCTTTAGACAATTCTCCTCCCACCTGTGTTGACAAGGAATCTTTCTTCCTTTCACGTGGTTACCTTCATGACACTTGTAACAACTTAGCATTCCCGAAAGCTATAACAGCTTACTAAAATTTTCAGTGGCTGTATCAGTAGTTAAGAACTGTCAGACATGTGCAGTCATAATCCTGCACATATGCTCAAACTTCACACAAAGCTAAAAACCTCAAATAACCAGCTTTAGGAGAACTAAAACAAGAAATACCAACTTCCTGCAAGTTTGCTTATTGATTTTGTGTCCAAAAAGTACAAATGTTGGTTCAAGATTTTCCTGTGGCTCTGGCATTTGTGCGTGTTTTCTTATGTGAATTCTCTGGTGTACATTAAACTGAGAGATTACAAATCCTCAATTGTTGAGGCACTTGCAGGCAGTCAACCACCTTTGCTTTGACCTTCTCCTTACTGATCTTTCTTTCGAACTCTTGGAGAGAGAGACCAGCAAGCATAAAGGAGTCACAGCTTGCTTTCTCCCATTTTTGATCGTCATCTCCCAAAAGTTGCCACAAAAACAGTTCTTCAAAGACCCCAATATTCCCAAGGCAGGAAGAGTCTGGACAATATTATCCCAATGTATTCTAGGAAATGCAAGTAAATCAAAGGTTTTTCAAAAGCATATAATTTGACCATAACAGGCTGATTTCAAGACAAGGATCAAGCAATAGCACCCTGCAAACATGGCTAACTACATCATGTTACAAACCCACCATAAAACGCTATGAACACTTTGTAGTCACAAGGAGGGACACAAGTAGTCATCTCCCTTTAATGTCACTTTAAGAAAGCAGCTGTACCATTCCAGCTAGCATTCCTCAATCAATCAACCAACCAACTTGGGGCAGACAGCCGACAGGGCAAAGTTTGGGAAGAATTGCTGAGATGTGACAAAGGGTAATGGATTGTGTCAGCCACTCTTAGTTGGAACATGAGACTTGGCTACAAGATATAGCAATGGTAGCTTTAAGTTTATACTTTTTTCCCTACATCAGGAAATCACACTGACAAGTTATCACTGCATCATTAAAAATACCTTTAACACATAATTAAAGTACAGCCACAACAACATTAAATGCATTCTCACAGAAACAAACCACACTAATGCATCTCCAGATTTAGTAGCAAGACTATTGCGACATTGTAACTCAGTCTCGGCCTCTCAGCCTTTTATTCACCTGATAAAACGCGAATATTATGATATAAACTGGGCGGTGGCACGGGAGCACTTGGTAACACACATGAACTGCATTAAAGAGGTAAATAAATAAATATTAGAAGGTAAATAAATAAATACTAGAAAGAATTATTAGAAAAAATTAGAGAGAAAAACGAGCACGGGTTCACACATCGTGCGATTTCATCGATGTGACAGCACCGCTCTTCGCCGCCGGGGCCCGGCCCCGCTCCGCCCCCGAAGTGACCGCCCCCGGGTGACGGGCCCCGGGGTGACCGGCCCCGGCCCCGGCCCCGGCCCCGGCCCCCCTCCGCCGCCGCCTCGGGCCCCCCCCGCCCGCTCCTGTCCCCGCGCGGCCCCTTCCCGGCCCCGGCACCACCGGCGACCCCCGAACCCCGCCCCGCCGGGATCCCTGCGCCGCCGGCGAGAAATAGTCCCCTCTCTCCTCCAGCCCCGCTCGCCGGGAGAGCCCCGCGGCCGCGGTCTGGGAGCGGGAGGAATCCTTCCTTCTTCCTTCGGCCGCGCCGCTGGAGCGCCGCCGGCATCCCCGCCCCCTCGGCGAGATCCGGCCGGGCCGGCGCGGAGGGATTCCCAGCGCCGGGGGAGGGGGGGCGCGGCGGTCGGGGGGAGGAGGTGCCCGAGGGGGGGGCGGGGAGGGGGCAACATGGCGGCTACGTATTAACTTCCCCCCCTCGGCAGCCAGCGCTGCCGCCGCTCTCCCCCGCTCCCAGCTCTGGCATGCTGGGCATGATGGAGAAGGGAGCGGAGCTCTTGGGGGGTAAGAGCCGGGCAGCCCCCAACGGCGCCAAGAGCAGCAGCCCCTCCAACGGGCACTACTCGGAGCCGGAGAGCGGCGGCGGCGACAGTGGCGACGAGCACGGTGCGAGCCTGGGGCCGCCCCGCCAGCGGCGGGAGGGGGGGTGGCGGAGGCGGCGGGAGGGGCGGCGAGCCGAGCCGAGCCGCCTCCCCCTTCCCCTTCCCGGAGCCGGGGCTCCGCCGCTCCGTCCGTGCCGCGGCCGAGCCGCGGCCGCGCGTGTGCGGGGCGTGGGGGGGGGCGGGAGCGCGCGGCGCGGCCCCGCGGCTGCCCCCGCGGTACTCAGCGATGGGGAGGGAGTGTCTCCCGGGAGCCGCCGCCGTCCCCATTGTTCCGCTGCAATAAACTCCCCCTTCCGCCTCCTCCTGCCCCCTCCTCGGCGGTCGTCGGGGCTTAATCCGCGGCGGCGGCGGCGGACGGGGGGGCGGCGGCGGGGAGGGGAGGTGGCTTATTCCGCACGGCCGCGGCGGGGGCTCCGCCAGCCCGCCCGCCCGCCGCACGGCGGGAGCTGGGACGGCGCCCGGGAACACTCCAGCCCGTAATTTCTCTCCCCCCTTTGCCTTGCAGATGTAGGAATGAGGGTCGGAGCGGAATACCAGGCGCGCATTCCTGACTTCGAGCCCGGTAAATGGCTTTTCGGCTGTAACCTGACATCTCCCGAGGCGGGAGGGGTGGGCTCGGTGCCGGGGCGGGCTCGGCTCGGCGCTCCCCGGCGGCGGCGGCGGCCGCGGGGTTGTATTTAGGTTGCTTTTGAGCCTTTGTGTCGGCGATCCGGTGCCGGCGGCGGGAGGCTTGGCCGGGGCAGCATCTGCGCTCCGTGCGCCCGGGGGCGGGGGGGCATCGCGGAGTGGGATTCTCACTTCATTATCGGCCTCATTATGTGCATCCGGCGGGAGGCGGTGAAGCAGAAAAAGGTTGGATTTTTTTTTTTTTTTCCCCTCCTTAGACTGTAACGCGCATAATGCATTAACCAGGTGATTTTAAAATATTTGACGAGGGGTGATGGATGTTCTCGGGCAAGGGTGGGAAGTGATGCGCCCTGCCGGAAGCGGAGCAGACCTTGGCTGCGTGCTGGAGGCGCTGGGTGGAAGATGCGCTTGGTGGGAAACTCCTGCTCCTGGTTTTGTGTGCTGTAGTAGCCTCACTAGACCCGCCGTGGCAGGCTGAGCTGCTCTCCTCCGCCTCCCTTGTCCCCCCAGCCCCGCCCCGAGGAATACTGGGTACGCTCTCATAGCCTGGTACTCAGCTTTAGCAAGTCAATCGCTAGAATGCTGTCTTGCCTTACTACACTGAGCGGGGAGACCGGAGGAGCGTTTATCAGTTTTGCTGTAGTGGTCAGAGGAAGCCTATCTACTTTCCTGTTCTCCAAACGGGCTCCATTGGTGTCAAATGATTTCTCACCGGAAGAGGATTGCTCACATAGTGCCTCCTAAAGCTGGAGAAAGCCCCTCTTGATGGGCGCAAGCCCCACAGGCCGAAGAAAAGGCCGGGAGAAAGAAAGGGGGAGGGTGGGATTAAATGGATGCATGATCTTGGCATAAGGGAATGCCTTTCCCCTAGGAAGGAGCACGTAGTCTAGGTCTCTTTGTTAATAAGGCTAACTGCTTACACCCTTTATTTTTACATTGCCTACATAAAAATAAACACAGATAAAAATGATTGTTTCTAACCTGCAGCCAGGGCTTGTTTTTCCTACAGGCAACTTAAATTAGAAAAACACATAGGGTTTGTTTTTCTTTTGATTAAAGGAACTCCTCAGCCCATGTAGGGCAACTGAGGTTTTGTGGTTTCAATTTTGTAAACTGTATATGCAATAATATCATTAACTGACATCATTGCAACTGCAGAACTAATTTTATGCTCTCTTATAACCAGATCTTTTAGAGCTCCTAAGTGTTTCTGGGGGATGGAATTCAACTAATGCCCCTTTCCCCAATAACTGGGACTAATATATACTCACTTTATCAATTTCCTTAATGATGAAGATGTTTATTTAAGAAGTCCTGAGTTAGAGGCATAATGTATAGTATTGTCCTTCTTAATGTGTCTACTTTGATTATGAAGACAAGAAGGTAGTGACTTTTTTTTTTGGAACACCTAAGTCTTACAAAATATGAAATAAATAAAAAAGTCCAAGTGTAAAAGTACAGCACATACTTACCGAGTTAACGGATTGGTTATCTGAGGAGATCTCAGCAAGATCTCATGCTTTCATCTGATTTTTTTTTTTTGATTGAGTTTATTCTTCCGATCAGTCTTGAGGTATCATTTCTTAGAGAAGCAATGCAAGGCAAATCCATGCTCTTAGAGCTACATTTAG